AGGGCCCTCTCGGGTGTCGGCAGCCTCGGAGGAGGGAGGCCCGAGTGCCCCAAGCCCGGCGGGGGCCACCCAGTCTTCCAGGGCGAGGTCGCAGGCTCGGCCGGTCCTCCTGGAGCCTGTCTGGTGTGTGTGAGCAGCGCTTGGGGCGGGGTGTGACCCAGAAGTGCCTCTGGGACGGGCAGGCTTTGCCCTGTAACCTGAGGCCACTCCTTTTTTCTTACTGGAGGGTATCTTTTCCATTGATTTTTTTTCTTTTTAAGAGCGAAGAGCCCTGGCCGGTTTGGCTCAGTGGATAGAGCGACGGCCCTCGGACTGAAGGGTCCCAGTTTCGATTCCGGACAAGGACACATGCCTGGGTTGCGGGCTCAATCCCCAGTGTGGGGCGTGCAAGAGGCAGCCGATCAGTGATTCTCATCATTGGTGTTTCTATCTCTCTCTCCCTCTCCCTTCCTCTTTAAATCAATAAAAATATTTAAAAAAAAAAGAGCAGAAGGGTGTTGGTGGGGAGATAGAGAAAGAGAGAGAGACAGAGAGAGAAGTATCGCTCTGAGAGACACATCGATTGGTTGTCTCCCCACGTGCCCCGCCCTGAGTCTCTCTCTGCCTCTCCCTTCCTCTCTGAAATCAATATATATATAAATAAAGAGCGGAAGGGTATTGGTGGGGAGAGAGAGAGACAGAGAGAGAGAGAAGTATCGCTCTGAGAGAGACACATCGATTGGTTGCCTCCCCACTTGCCCCGCCCTGGGCCAGGGAGGGGACCTGTAACCCAGGTACGTGCCCTTGACCAGGAACTGAACCCACGACCCTTCGGTGCGCAGGCTGGTGCTCTAACCACTGAGCACACGGGCCAGGCTGCGGCTCCTTTTTGCTCTCACGGCCCCGTCTCCGCTCAGCCTGCAGCCAGCAAGTTGTCTGATGAGTTTATGAGTCGCACCCACTGACAGCACCTCCGTCCCAGGTGGGAGGGTGAGGCTCAGTCCCAGGCGGAGCCGGCCCTTCACAGTCGCAGCCAGGGGGGGCGGGGGTGCGCACAGCTGGGTGGTCCTGAAACTCCTGGTGATTCTAACGCTCAGCGGGATGGGGCCACGCCCCAGGCCACCAGCTACTCTCAGAGCTTCAGCGTATGGATTTGGGGGGGCCCAGAACTATCATTATGTTCTACTAGAGGCCGGTGCATGACAATTCGTGCGGTTCCTCAGCCCGGCCTGCGCCCTCTTGCAGTCCTGGAGCCCTTGGATGTCCCACTGATGGCTTAGGCTCACCCCCAGATCGCCGTCCCCTCCCTCTGCCCGCTGCCACCCGCCTTGGCTGGCCTGGCGCCACCCGCCTTGGCTGGCCCTGCCCCCTGCCAACCTGTAGTTCTGCCGTTCAGTCGATTTGCATATTAGGCTTTTATTATATAGGACAAGTAATAAAAACACGCTATCCTATTCAACAGTGACGGTAGCAGCACCAACACAAATAATGAAAACTAACCCTGAGCCGAGGGCGTGGAACTGGCACTTGGCGGGTGTGAGTGGACGCCCGCCCCTCACGGGCTGACCTGTGGGGGTCACTGTCCCGTCCCCCCACATCCCTTCTGCTTCCGTCCCACAGGGCCCAGCCTGGGCGGTGCGCAGGGCAGCGGTGCGGAGCCCGCCCCCGAGGAGGCCGAGGGGCTGGACCCCGAGTCCTCGGATGACACGGACCTCAGCAGCAAGGTGAGAGCTTTTCATTTTCACCTCCCGCGTCCCGGCCGCCTCTGCAGCGGGGCCCAGGAGTTCCACGTGGGAGATGTCGCTGAATAATTCTCAGAACCCAAAGGCAGCCTCGCTGACAAGCCCGTAGCCGGGAGGCAGGCCCAGATGTCACTGGGTGAAGTCCGACCCATCCCCTCTCGCCGTGCGGTTGGGTCAGCTCCGTGGTCTGTGACTCGTGATTTGTGCCGTGAGCTTCTGCGCCTCGTGCCCAGCTTTGGTTAGAAGTGAGCCTCTTAGCGTGGCTCAGGGGTTGAGTGTCGACCTGTGAACCAGGAGGTCATGGTTCAATTCCCGGTCAGGGCACATGCCCAGGTTTCGGGCTTGATCCCCAGTGGGGGGTGTGCAGGAGGCAGCCGATTCATGATTCTCTCTCATCATTGATGTTTCTAACTCTTTCCCTCTCCCTTCCTCTCTGAAATCAATAAAAATCTATAATAATAAAAGCATAATATGCTAATTAGACCGGACAGCCGGACCTCCTTCCAGACGACCTTCCGGACGAAGCCGGGGCTGCGAGGGCCAAGCCCCTCATGCAGACCGTGTGCCCTGGACCTCCCGTATATTCGTATATAAAAGGATTTGCCGAAGGTTAAGCCGTGGCCCTTACTTGACTTTTACTTCTATTTGTGGGGGGCCAGTGGCTCTCTAGAGAAACAGGTATTTCCGTGCTGAGAGAAGACATTTGGAAGGGAATTTATGTAGTTATTTTGTTACTGAGACTAAAAAGGCGGATTCTCGATTTCCAGCGTGGGTGGGAGCACAGCTATTCTTCCTGTCCCTGAAGCCTTAATGCTGAATTCTTTCTGACTTGGGTCATCTGTGCTCCCTGTCATCGCCCGGTCCTCCTTCCCTGGTGGGTTTTGAGTCGTTTCCGTGTTGAATGCAGTGAGTCATGAGGTCGGGGGCGCAGGAAGGAAGAGGCCAGGGTCTGTCCGCTGACCCCGGGCGTCTGTCTGACTCCACGGTTCTTTGTGCAGAAGAGGAGGTGCTGAGACGCCCGGACACACAGGTCGGATGTAGGGACGGGCGCTGCTGTCCCCGCTCCCTGTCGGTGTCAGTGTGTGACGGAGGGTGGGGCCAGGTCGCAGATGTTTGAGGATCCGATGGGCTGCAGCCTTAGGTTCCTGTTCCTGTTCCTTTCCCTGGGCCGGGCGCCCGCGGGTCCTGCACTCCTTCGCTTCTGCTTGTTCAGGTTTTATCTTTATTTGGTTGTTTTGTCATGCAACCCAAGTTCCGTAACTAAAATCGCCTTTTGTGAATTAAATTTCTCGCTTAGGATATTTGGAAGCAAAAGCTTTAAGTTAAGCCAAGGAGTCTTGGAGACGGGGCCCTAACTGCATGTTACTAATACGTGAGGAGCCCGGCTTGTGTAGCCCAGTGGGTTGAGCGTTGGCCCATGAACCAGGAGGTCCCAGTTCGATTCCCGGTCAGGGCACAGGCCCGGGTTGTGGGCTCGATCCCCAGTAGGGGGCGTGCAGGAGGCAGCCGATCCAGGATTCTTTCTCATCATTGATGTTTCTCTCTCTCTATCCCCTTCTCCCTTCCTCTCTAAAAATCAATAAAATAGTATCTATAATAGTAAAAGCGCAATATGCTAATTAGACTGGCCATCCTTCCAGACGACCTTCCGGATGAAGCCGGGGCTGCGAGGGAAGCCCGGGTCCTGGGTGCCGGCAGCCGGGGGAAGGAAGTGTGTATGTAGTGAGCGCTGTTCCATGGTAGCTCGCTCATCCCCCCGATACCCCGGGGAGGAAGATACTGTTATTCCCTCTGTTGATAGAGGACAGTATTGGAACAGAGAAGTTAAGCGACTTATTGGAGCTCACACAGCTCTGAGGTGGCAAACCAGGCCTTGCGTGTTAACTGCTTTTCAGAACTGCCCTCTGGCTGGATGGCTGCGGGCTGGTGGTGAAACCAGGCTTCTGAACAGGAAGGAGTCGTTTAACCAGTGGGCTGTGAGCCTGTTCCGATGAGGGCTCACCAAGTGCTCAGCTGTTTTCCTGAGGCCTAAGCTTTCTAGGTCTTTTTTAAAATGATTTAAACAGCACGTGCACAGCTTAACTTTCTTGATTAGGGTTAAAAAGTTTTTGATGCATTTCATATCAGTGTATAATTTTTCTTGAGAATAAAGTGAAAACTTTTGCGTGTGAACTGCCAGAGTATGGAAGGATGATTTTGAATGCAGCAGGTTGGGTGTAGAAATCAATGAATAATAGATTAAACCAGTAAACATATACATGAAATAAAAGAGGTAATCATTTTTCATCCCGGCTAAATATGTGACAGCTGTTGATTTAATATTTTTTGCTGTTTTTCCCAAATGAATTGTTTTAAGAAATATTGGGCAGGATAAAGAGAAGGTGTGTTGGAATTTTATGTTTTTATTTTATTTTAGATTTTTTTATTGACTTTATTGGGGTGATATTGGTCAACAAAATTACATGGGTTTTAGCTGTACAATTCTTTAATATGTCATCTGTATATTGTATTATGTACAGTAACATTGAAAAAATCTAATTCTTAAAAATTTATTTACTCTTTATTATCATTATTTTACTTTTATTGTTGACATGATCATAGATGTCCCCCATTTGCCCCCACCTTACCTCCCTCCGACAATACTGGGCAGGATGGAGAGAATGTGTGCTGGAATTTTATGTTTCCAGTTTTTTAGAAATAACAGTTTTTGCTCCAGGCGGCCTCTTGGGGTTGAGCAAGTGGATAGTTGTGAGCTGCTGGGTGGGGTGGCTCAGGAGTGACAGGTCCTGGTGGGGGTGGGGGGCAGCGGCCTCCGGGTGTGTCTGGCGGAGGCTGGGAGGCCCCTGGGCACCGGTGTGTCTGGCGGAGGCTGGGAGGCCCCTGGGCACCGGTGTGTCTGGCGGAGGCTGGGAGGCCCCTGGGCACCGGTGTGTCTGGCGGAGGCTGGGAGGCCCCTGGGCACCGGTGTGTCTGGCGGAGGCTGGGAGGCCCCTGGGCACCGGTGTGTCTGGCGGAGGCTGGGAGGCCCCTGGGCACCGGTGTGTCTGGCGGAGGCTGGGAGGCCCCTGGGCACCGGTGTGTCTGGCGGAGGCTGGGAGGCCCCTGGGCACCGGTGTGTCTGGCGGAGGCTGGGAGGCCCCTGGGCACCGGTGTGTCTGGCGGAGGCTGGGAGGCCCCTGGGCACCGGTGTGTCTGGCGGAGGCTGGGAGGCCCCTGGGCACCGGTGTGTCTGGCGGAGGCTGGGAGGCCCCTGGGCACCGGTGTGTCTGGCGGAGGCTGGGAGGCCCCTGGGCACCGGTGTGTCTGGCGGAGGCTGGGAGGCCCCTGGGCACCGGTGTGTCTGGCGGAGGCTGGGAGGCCCCTGGGCACCGGTGTGTCTGGCGGAGGCTGGGAGGCCCCTGGGCACCGGTGTGTCTGGCGGAGGCTGGGAGGCCCCTGGGCACCGGTGTGTCTGGCGGAGGCTGGGAGGCCCCTGGGCACCGGTGTGTCTGGCGGAGGCTGGGAGGCCCCTGGGCACCGGTGTGTCTGGCGGAGGCTGGGAGGCCCCTGGGCACCGGTGTGTCTGGCGGAGGCTGGGAGGCCCCTGGGCACCGGTGTGTCTGGCGGAGGCTGGGAGGCCCCTGGGCACCGGTGTGTCTGGCGGAGGCTGGGAGGCCCCTGGGCACCGGTGTGTCTGGCGGAGGCTGGGAGGCCCCTGGGCACCGGTGTGTCTGGCGGAGGCTGGGAGGCCCCTGGGCACCGGTGTGTCTGGCGGAGGCTGGGAGGCCCCTGGGCACCGGTGTGTCTGGCGGAGGCTGGGAGGCCCCTGGGCACCGGTGTGTCTGGCGGAGGCTGGGAGGCCCCTGGGCACCGGTGTGTCTGGCGGAGGCTGGGAGGCCCCTGGGCACCGGTGTGTCTGGCGGAGGCTGGGAGGCCCCTGGGCACCGGTGTGTCTGGCGGAGGCTGGGAGGCCCCTGGGCACCGGTGTGTCTGGCGGAGGCTGGGAGGCCCCTGGGCACCGGTGTGTCTGGCGGAGGCTGGGAGGCCCCTGGGCACCGGTGTGTCTGGCGGAGGCTGGGAGGCCCCTGGGCACCGGTGTGTCTGGCGGAGGCTGGGAGGCCCCTGGGCACCGGTGTGTCTGGCGGAGGCTGGGAGGCCCCTGGGCACCGGTGTGTCTGGCGGAGGCTGGGAGGCCCCTGGGCACCGGTGTGTCTGGCGGAGGCTGGGAGGCCCCTGGGCACCGGTGTGTCTGGCGGAGGCTGGGAGGCCCCTGGGCACCGGTGTGTCTGGCGGAGGCTGGGAGGCCCCTGGGCACCGGTGTGTCTGGCGGAGGCTGGGAGGCCCCTGGGCACCGGTGTGTCTGGCGGAGGCTGGGAGGCCCCTGGGCACCGGTGTGTCTGGCGGAGGCTGGGAGGCCCCTGGGCACCGGTGTGTCTGGCGGAGGCTGGGAGGCCCCTGGGCACCGGTGTGTCTGGCGGAGGCTGGGAGGCCCCTGGGCACCGGTGTGTCTGGCGGAGGCTGGGAGGCCCCTGGGCACCGGTGTGTCTGGCGGAGGCTGGGAGGCCCCTGGGCACCGGTGTGTCTGGCGGAGGCTGGGAGGCCCCTGGGCACCGGTGTGTCTGGCGGAGGCTGGGAGGCCCCTGGGCACCGGTGTGTCTGGCGGAGGCTGGGAGGCCCCTGGGCACCGGTGTGTCTGGCGGAGGCTGGGAGGCCCCTGGGCACCGGTGTGTCTGGCGGAGGCTGGGAGGCCCCTGGGCACCGGTGTGTCTGGCGGAGGCTGGGAGGCCCCTGGGCACCGGTGTGTCTGGCGGAGGCTGGGAGGCCCCTGGGCACCGGTGTGTCTGGCGGAGGCTGTGAGGCCTCCCGAAAGGCTGTGAGATTCTGGGTCAGGCGCCCCTGTGAGCCGTGGGGTGTGTTCACCTGGGGAGACTCAAAGGGCCGGTTTTAGATCTGAGCTCGGGGGCGGGAGTGGCCTTGTGCTTTCTCCTCCTCTGGGGACAGCGTGGCCTCGGGGACAGCGCGCCCCCACTTCCTCCCGTGTGAGTTCCTCCCGGTGTCGCTGGGATTGCTCTCCGTCCGACAGGACGGCTCTGAGCACCGGGAGAGCCGCCCATTTCCCGGGGACTGACCGCTGGTCCCTCTCCCGCCGGGGGAGCCGGCTCCTCCTCCGCTGCCCTGCACTACCTGTGCCCCTACTGTGTGCCTGTCCCCTCCCGGGAAGTCGGCTGGGGGGGTGGGTGCGTGCAGAGCCTCCTAGGGCAGCTCCCAGGTGGAGGTGGCCTCCGTGCTGGGCGGGACGGCCATGCTGGCTTCTGCATCCAAGGTCACGGCCTTGGCCAGGCTCCGTGGGGAGGGCCCGATGGAGATGGAGTTTGATGTCCTCTGGCCACAATATGTTTTTGATTTCAGAGGGAGGGAGGGGGGGAGAGAGAGAGAAACGTCAATGATGAGAGAGAATCATGGATCAGCTGCCTCCTGCACGCCCCACACTGGGGATCGAGCCTGAAACCTGGGCATGTGCCCTGACCGGGAATCGAACCCAGGACCTTTGGTGCATGGGATGATGCTCAACCACTGAGCCACGCCGGCCCAGGGCCATCGAGAGCGTTAAGACGTGCGGCTTGCGGGGCCCGCCCCAGAGGTTCTATTGGATGATCTGGGGGCAGCGCTGGGAGGCTCACAGGCGCCCCCGTGAACCCAGCCTGACCCAGGGGAGACCTGCGGGTCCCGGGGTGTCAGGGCCCAGGATTGGGAAACTGTTTCCGCAGCTGGAGAGGTTGGAATCTTAGAACCCTGACGCCCTAAATGTCCACCAGATCGTCCCAGGCGACAGGAGGTGGAGACGGGGCAGTGCGTGAGCGGGAGGGACACGGGAGGGACAGAGGTCGGACAGGTCGCTCCGGAGTGCCGCTGCCCTCACCTGCCCTGCTTCCCACCTGTGCTCTGGAGAGCACGGAACAGGGGGCCGTGTCCTGCCGCAGTCCGCGCGAGATGAACCCCAGTGACCCGA